AACTATAATTATTACTTATTAATTATTATCACTTGTTTATTACTTACTTTAATTAATTTGTTCACTTCATTTCGTTTTACTTTATATGTCTGATGAAGGCTTTCAGAGTTGCTTTCTTTTTCAGATAATCCCGCGTGTTCATCTCACATCTAATGTCAGTTGTTAACCATGGAGCATAAGTACTTCTTACCTTTCGAGTTTTAACTGGAGGGTAAATATCTGATACACTATTGAATATGTGTTTGAATTGATCCCATAACAGGTCTGGATCTTTCTGATCCCAGGCCGAGTGCCTCAGTAACTAAGAAAGATGGCTATTGAAGCAGTTAACATTATAGTCTTTTAGATTTCTGCTTTCAACGATCTTCGGTTTTACTTTATCAGGGCGGTTAGTTGCGATTATGTCAATTAACGATTCTGTGTTGCCTGTTATGTGCGTAGGATCTACAATCAGTTGTTTCATTCGAAATAACTCAAGGATGTCCATAAGTCTACGAGAATGGGGTTGCAAGACTGAGAGAGAGGTCGCAGTTTAAGTCCCCTGTAATGATTAGTTCTTTATCTTGTTCGTCTAGTAAATGGAAATAGTTTTCTAAAGCATCCATAAAGTCGGCTTTGGAATTAGGAGGGCAGTAAACACATGTAACTAAGATTGGTTTACTATGTTTAACTAGACGAGACAACCTATCGAGACAGACTGAACTGACACTGCTAATTGCCAGATATTCCAGATCAAGGACGAGCAGAACGTCCGGGAAGAGCTTGAAAAGACAAACCCAGAAGAAGATCTGTTTGTCACAGACCAAAGACTTGACGCCATTAGACAAGAGACTGCGAAAGATGCGTCACTCCACTGACGACACTCATCAAACAGGGATGGCCAGAAACAATAACAGATACCCCGTCATGCGTTCGCGAGTATTGGCCCTGCAGAGATGAGTAAAATATAATAGTATTGTTCGTGGAAACACCACGTAAATTTATTACTGCAAAGCTTTCGATCCTAAGCCCAGTTTTCATAAATCCGTCTCACCTCACTACACATGCGTAATTAAAACTCACTACGTAGCCACTAGCCACGTAGCCACCAATATTTCTAGTCGGTCTTCAAAATAGTGGACATATTTTGCATCAAGTGATGTTTCATGTATACGTGGAAGCATTGAAATGTGCCTAGCAGTAAGGGAGCGGTCATTATTTAAGGTGGGGGGTGGCACCGAAGAGAAAAGGGTTGGGTAAACAAAATTTTGAGTGAGTAAAAGGTTGGGTAAATGAAAAACAAAACAACTCAAGGGTTGGGTAATAAAAATTTATTGTCATTTCCAAAGCATGACTCACTGAAATATTGAAGACTAAAAAGCAATGTCAGCAGCCATATGTAAATCCAATATGTGAATCAATCAGAGCCGCTGTCTTGACCATTTTCCGATTTGTCAGGAGACAAATGGTCTCTCCAAAGAAACTACATGTGCAAACATTATGAAACTTTAGACTGCGGAGAATTTCACAAGACGTTATCAAACTCATGTCACGGAAGTGGTAAAGGACATGTGCGACAACTGAATAGCATCCTTTTGTAAAGTTTTTTGGCCAGGGGTGGGTATTTTTTTTAATTGATATTTGAGGTTGGGTAATCAAATTTTTGATTTTTTAATGGTTGGGTCAGCAAAATTTTGGCCACGAAAAGCATTTCTCTTCGGTGCCACCCCCCAACGTAAATAATGACCGGTCCCTAAACAGACTTGATATGAACTGATAGCAAAACTTGTGTTATATAATTAATTTACCTGTATGTCAATGAGACGCACATGTTTAATATCTGTCACCTGTGATTGCTCTTTAACCCCTCGTCTTGGCTACTTTAATATATAATATATTGCTTTTTCTCAGTTCCACTCATGGTAAGAATCGATTCCTTACTGGCTTAAGGCCTCAAGCTCACAGCTCACTACGACACTAGTCGCTGCGAGTAATAACTGTGCTTGATATATAATTTGTGCTATTTACTGTAGTTCTATTTGCTTTTAATGAACGCAGCAATCCCAGCTACCTTGCAGGTAACCTAGTGATAGTATATATATATATATAATATTATTAGCACTGACGAAGATCCAGGCTTACGGATCGAAAGCTTTGCAGTTTATCGCCATGCAAACCTACAAACAAAGAACTTATTACAGATGAGTTAGCTACACCAGACGAACTAGCTTACCGTGGAACAAGAAACATGCATTATCCCAACATCGATGAGACACACGAAATGATTACCATAGCCCATGCATCACATCTAGGAATTCAATACACGATCAACTCTGCCAGAGACATAATCTATTGGCCCCGAATGTCAACTGACCTAACGAACGAAATGATTACCATGGCCCATGCATCACATCTAGGAATTCAATACACGATCAACTCTGCCAGAGACATAATCTATTGGCCCCGAATGTCCACTGACCTAACGAACGAAATGATTACCATAGCCCATGCATCACATCTAGGAATTCAATACACGATCAACTCTGCCAGAGACATAATCTATTGGCCCCGAATGTCCACTGACCTAACGAACGAAATGATTACCATGGCCCATGCATCACATCTAGGAATTCAATACACGATCAACTCTGCCAGAGACATAATCTATTGGCCCCGAATGTCCACTGACCTAACGAACGAAATGATTACCATAGCCCATGCATCACATCTAGGAATTCAAAACACGATCAACTCTGCCAGAGACATAATCTATTGGCCCCGAATGTCCACTGACCTAACGAACGAAATGATTACCATGGCCCATGCATCACATCTAGGAATTCAATACACGATCAACTCTGCCAGAGACATAATCTATTGGCCCCGAATGTCCACTGACCTAACGAACGAAATGATTACCATAGCCCATGCATCACATCTAGGAATTCAATACACGATCAACTCTGCCAGAGACATAATCTATTGGCCCCGAATGTCCACTGACCTAACGAACGAAATGATTACCATGGCCCATGCATCACATCTAGGAATTCAATACACGATCAACTCTGCCAGAGACATAATCTATTGGCCCCGAATGTCCACTGACCTAATGAACGAAATGATTACCATAGCCCATGTAGTACATGCCAGCAGATGGAACCTGCTCAACACAAGGAGCCGATGACGTCATATTCACTACCAAAACTACTACCTTGGCAGGCCGTGGCGAGTGATTGCTTCGAGCTAGAAGGAAAACACTATGCTGTTAATGTAGAACTATACTCGGACTATATCAGTCGAGGTCTTTAACATTCCTGACTTGTCAACACAGTTGTTGATCGAAGAAATGAAACCAATCTTTGCCACTCATGGCACACCCGCAGTCGGCCTGACAACGGTAGCAATTACAGCTCCGAAGAATTTCGTATCTTAATTCACCACAGCCTGGGATATCAATCACACTATGTCTTCTCTCCATCACCACAAGTCAAATGTGAAAGCAGAGTCTGCAGTAAAAATCATAAAGAACATAATGCGGAAGGCACAGGCAGAGAAGACGTGTGGATAGCCATCTGACCATCTGAGAGTGGCTTAATGCACCAACACCAGGTTCAACGTCTTCGCCAGCACAAAGGCTCATGTCACGTCGAACCAGATCATTACTTCCGTGCAACAACGAAATCCTAAAACCCGAAGTACAGGCACATATAACAGAACAGCTCATAGCCAAACGTCGGATAGCAAAGCAGTATCAGGATCGCAACGCCAAAACCCTTCCGAAGTTACATATAGGACAACCTGTAAGAGTGAAGGCACACCTACAGCAGCCACATAGTGATTTGAGACACCGCATAATATAGAATGGTATGCAGTGAGTGACATCGCCCGTAGCACGCAAGCAGAACTGCATTGGTATTAAACATTTTCGTCAAATGAAACAGTTTTATTAAAAGTTCGAATAGTTTAGCCAAATATGTAACTGGGCTGCCCATGACCAGACTGCAAAATTTAGTAATTCCAACGAGCCAGTCAGTCATACATCAAAGATTTATGCATAGCCTTCTGCCTTCAGACTCACCAACCAAATATTAAGGCAAATATTAACGTAGCTGGCGGTAAAATATATAAAGGAACATGGTTACAGAGAACATGTCAACTTTTCTATGACAAGTTTTACGCATATGACAAGTTTTATTTGCTCGTCTGTATAGGAAACTTTGCCAATCATTTCTATGCCAACTAAGTACACTTGTTCAAAAGCTCTGATCTGCAACCTAGACAAAAGCTTAGGCTTAGCATAATTTATTGCAAACCTATTACTTACTTACCAAAGCACGTTGTTCAAGGACGTTTTATTCCTCGCTTCTAGATTGTACTCTCGTTCGGTTAAATGTTCCTGCTGTACATTAACTATATACTTCTCACTGAAACATGCAACAAAGATCAGCAAATTGACAAATATTAATTTAAGTAAATGTGATTGGTTAGTTATGACGATGACGTCAAATATGTATAACTGCCACAGGCAACGGAACAAAGAAAACTGGTATTACAGGAAAGAATAAAATCCGGTTAGTATAACTAGGTTCTAAATATCCTTAGTAAGCACAGCTATCAACACCATTATTATTTTTGTACTGCAGTGTAGTACGATCTTTATAATCAGTAACTGAGATCTAGGGCTCAACAATATTGTCGACAAGTGTGAACGTTGGCAGCAAACTACATTGTTCAATCCTGTTGAACAGCCCATAATTTTTACGCGTATGTCGAGACAAGTTCTGAAGAGTCATAAGCAAAAAATTTTAACTGCGGAAGTTGTAGCTTGTTTTGGAATATTATTTCAACACAATAATCTATGCTACCTTTAGCACCATTTGCGTCATGAAACGCGTGAGCAATGATGAATATAATTATCTATATGCAATAATTTCCTATTTTGTGATGATGGGCAATTATGGCTTTCAGAAAAAATTATCAATAAACAACTTGCATGTTAGAGTAATTTTTTATATGGGCAAAAAAAGTAAATTCCCGTAAAGAACTTATTAAAATTAGTAAAATTTGGTTACGAAATATTGTAAAATACGGAAAATATAGCCTTGCGAAGTTTGCATATTTTGTATATGTTTGTATTACGTGCGGAAATTATTACTATTTTTCAGCAATTTCCGCACCTAATACAAACATATGCAACATTTGCAAGACTATATTTTCCAAGCGTTACAACATTTCGCAACCAAATTTTGCAATTTTATTAATTTCATTATGTTCTTTTTATAGCTGTGGTGTTCGATTCCCTTCTCTTTACAGATTAAAATTTAGGCTAACATGCAAGTTGTCCATTAATTTGAAGAAAGCTAACTTTCGTGATTTTTAAACCATTAAGGCAAAAAGTATATTGGATTTGTGGTGCTTTCATTACCTCTATTACCTCGGTGTTTAATATCCATGAAAATATAATCCGTTTACAAAGATTCACGAGTTTCATGCACGCGCAAAGAACCATTGAAATATTAAATTGTCTTCGTCGTAACTAAATGAAAGAGAAAATTTCCTCTGACGAAATTTTAGACGAATGGTGGGTTTGATGGATAATCCGAGTGAGCATATATACACACAGTTTAAGACCTAAGCAGGAACGGTTGCGAAAAATGCAATACTAGGTCCTCTGGCAGAAATCGAACGATTCCGGTGCACAATTCTTCCTTCCCGCCCTTTATTTGTGAGGAGTAAAACGACAGCAGTTTGGTATTGACTACTAGCTATGCTAGCCACGCGTTTGAGATACCAAATATTTAGTATAAAAAGTGCATTGTATTTGTGGTAAAAGCTAAAATATTATTAAAATGAAGCCAGACTGGTCAAGTGCGATGATTAGTTATGCAGCAAAATTCTAAAATATGTGAGCTAAATTTTATAATTCTTCCTTTTTGTCAGTAGTAGAACTCGGTGGTAATTGATCAAAAAAGGAAATGAAGCCGCCAGAAGTTCTTGAGTTTTCAAAATCCATTGCATAACTTCCATAATTATAATATTTAATAGTTGGGTATCCTTGAACGTTTTCTGTTCCACACAAATCTGTAAAGAAATGAAAATTTTAAAATGGCAATATATATAGTTATACTTTAAATTTATTTACATGTATGTTCAGATTCGATAAAAAGCTGCGGGAAGGGAGGTTTACCCATAGTTTACCACCTTATGTGAGGTCAGTGAGGAAAGTTTATCATATGTGAGGTCAGTGAGGAAAGTTTATCATATGTGAGGTCAGTGAGGAAAGTTTATCATATGTGAGGTCAGTGAGGAAAGTTTATCATATGTGAGGTCAGTGAGGAAAGTTTATCATATGTGAGGTCAGTGAGGAAAGTTTATCATATGTGAGGTCAGTGAGGAAAGTTTATCATATATGTGAGGTCAGTGAGGAAGGTTTGCCATATGTGAGGTCAGTGAGGAAGGTTTGCATATATGCGAGGTCAGTGAGGAAGGTTTATCATGTGTGAGGTCAGTGAAGAAGGTTTACCATATGTGAGGTCAGTGAGGAAAGTTTACCATATGTGAGGTTAGTGAGGAAGGTTTATCATATGTGAGGTCAGTGAGGAAGGTTTACCATACGTGAGGTCAGTGAGGAAGGTTTACCATATGTGAGGTCAGTGAGGAAGGTTTACTGTATGTATGGTCAGTGAGGAAGGTTTACTGTATGTATGGTCAGTGAGGAAGGTTTACTATATAACAAACATACTTGCAGGGAGGTGAGTCCGAGATTGGACGCACCGAGGGTGGCTGGAAGTTTCCCGAACTCACCGAGCGAACCGAGGTGGGTTCGGGAAACTTCCAGCCACCCGAGGTGCGTCCAATCTCAGACTCACCGAACCTGCAAGTATGTTTAGTTTTTATCACATGCCATTTCGGTAAAAAGTACTGACGAATTTACGCATTTTTAGTATATATTAAAATTTCTTGTTTGGATAACGAACATTTTGGCCGCCAACATACTACGCCAACAAACAAACTTAGGCTTAAATCGAAGCTAAAAAAATCCTCTACAATATTCCCTTATCCTTGAAACGAGAAAATGCACACGTTCTGCAAAAACATTGCCAAGATTTATATAAACCTGCCCGTGCCGAATAGAAATTTCGGCGGCCATCTTTCTTCTCTTTCACTTTGAATATAAAATATTCCATTTTCATCCAACAAAAAAATAATAATAAAACAATTAAAAACAGTTATAATTTTATTTTTTATTTAAATCTTCGCCTGAAATTTGTTTAAATCGCTTCGTAATGGCCGCCGCCGAAACATCGATCTCGAACCCCTCTCCTAAACATACGTCAGCAGGTGGGTGCGAGATTGAACGCACCTCCTCGTAGCCAATAGGAAAGCCGCTAGTACGCTAGGTATGAGATAAAACGTGTGGTCAGTGAGGACGGTTTACTGTATGTATGGTCAGTGAGGAAGGTTTACTGTATGTATGGTCAGTGAGGAAGGTTTACTGTATGTATGGTCAGTGAGGAAGGTTTACTATACGTGATGGTCAGTGAGGAAGGTTTACTATACGTGAGGTCAGTGAGGAAGGTTTACTATACGTGAGGTCAGTGAGGAAGGTTTACTATACGTGAGGTCAGTGAGGAAGGTTTACTATACGTGTGGTCAGTGAGGAAGGTTTACTATATGTGTGGTCAGTGAGGAAGGTTTACTATATGTGTGGTCAGTGAGGAAGGTTTACTATACGTGTGGTCAGTGAGGAAGGTTTATCATATGTGTGGTCAGTGAGGAAGGTTTACTGTATGTGTGGTCAGTGAGGAAGGTTTACTATACGTGTGGTCAGTGAGGAAGGTTTACTGTATGTGTGGTCAGTGAGGAAGGTTTACTATATGTGTGGTCAGTGAGGAAGGTTTACTATATGTGTGGTCAGTGAGGAAGGTTTACTGTATGTGTGGTCAGTGAGGAAGGTTTACTATACGTGTGGTCAGTGAGGAAGGTTTACTGTATGTGTGGTCAGTGAGGAAGGTTTACTATACGTGTGGTCAGTGAGGAAGGTTTACTATACGTGTGGTCAGTGAGGAAGGTTTACTATACGTGTGGTCAGTGAGGAAGGTTTACTACAATTAAAAACAATTAAAATTGAAAAATATTCAGTAGAAAATAAGCCGACGATTTCGAATGACAAAAGTCATAATTCACATTATTTTGAAGGTTTCAAAACTTGAACTTTTACCCCGAGAAAGGTTGAGCACTTTTTACAGCTCTGTGTATGCTCTATTTTGCCATAATTCAGTGGTCTGTAGCATTTTAGTTTTTAAGAAATTGTTTATATTTTGGTTAAATTTGGATGAAGATTGAATGAGAAAGTAACCAAAGTTTGCCTTTCTTTGCCGGGCAAAGTAAACTGAATATGTAATTAGCCCATTGTATAATTTATGCATATCTAAATAATAATTTATGCATGATACATACTGTAATTGATATACGATGTATGCATCTTCGACTATACCCTCTAGTTCTTTTTGCACCACGCTTGTCAGTTTATACTTTAAGGAACTACTGTATGATCATTCCAACGTCGGTTTTTTGCGTGTAAATTAAGTCTATGGAGACCATAGATATCTTATATACACCAGAGAGTGCATCTAATTATTCTTCAATTCAAAAATTGAAGCCGTGATTGCAGACTCAGGATATTCCCATGAAATGAGAAGACTCGTATGTTTTCTATTTCTTAAACAGGAAACTTAAACATTAAGTTAAATCTATTCTAAATGCATTTTCAAACTATTCAAATGATGAAAGTTATTGTTGTTTTTTAAGCGTTTATTAGCAAGTGGGAAACTCCAACATGGCCGCCATCTATTCAAATGGGGGTAACCGCTGGAATATTCTTGGCTTCAATTTTACTAAAAGAGATGCGCTATCTAGTGTATATAAGATATCTATGATGGAGACATTCAGTGTTGTAAGGAACAACTGTATTTATACAATATTTTATCTTAACTCCAAACACGTATGAAGAACTTTATTCATAAAAGTACGACCAACCTGTTTCCACAGTACAGTCCACAGCAGCCATAATTTTATTTCCTTCATCTTGCATCTTCATCGCTGCATCTTCGAAATGTGGCTTGGTACTCTTGCAATGACCACACCCTATGCAAATAAAACAGAGCATGTTTAACAAAGACAGTTTTGCAAATATAGGTCTAATTTACTGTATAAGTTAGAGTTATATAAACCGAGAAGGAGGTTTATAACTGATATATTGCCCCCGAGGACGCGTAGCGTCCGAGTGCAATATATCAGTTATAAACCGACTTTCGAAGTTTATAACTAACTTATATCACATTTGTGGAGGTTTTCTAACATATTTTGTCATTTTCAAAAATTTTTAATGAAAAATTCTCGCGTTTTGTCTACAAGTTTAATCCAATCATTTATTCAAGGTATATTAGCTAGTTATAAACCTCGGACGATCAAAGAAAACCGACACAAATGTGATATAATTCGGGTTATAGCGCTTTTAAAACCGAGTCAAAATAACTTCAACTGAAAGACTATAATAACACTAAGTGGAAGATTTCACACTTTGTGGAAGATTTCATGACGACCATTTAAACAAGAACACTTCTCGACGTTTCAAGCAAAGCCCTTCGTCCATTCTCCTCTATTCATCGCTGCGGCCAATGCTAAACGCCACATTTCTGATCAATGCCCAAATATATCATTACTGATACTATAGTTATCCCCACCCGTACAGAAATACTTACAAGGAGCGTAAAACATAACCAAAGAATGTTCAATTGCAGCTAATGTTGTTTCAAAATTATCTTGTTTCAGTTCTTGAACGACGTTAAATTTCCATTCTCCTTCACTTTCGCCATCACTTTTCATTTCTTTATCTTCGTCGTTTCTACAGTAACATTAAATGATTTTGTTCAGGAATAACTATTGAGCATATAATAACAGTCATATTTGTGAAACTGTTCAATCAACTCCAAGATTTAGTCGAATTTTATCGGGCGTTAACTACTTCATTCCATTCATTGGTGATTCCTAAATCTTACAAGGAAAAAAGAGTCGTTCAATAATTGTCCGTTGCTCACAAATAAAATATAAGTACTTCGTAACAATAGAGTAGTCATCTGATTTACCCCAAAATAAAGACGCACTAAATAGGTAGACACGTGCTGAATTAGTTCTTACTTTTTAACAAATTGTATGATATCTTCTTTGCTTCTGTTGCCATCATATTCCTCAATTTCCTCTCCGTATCTAAAGACAAAGGAATATATTTTTTCTTTTTACTATTGCACGACATTCCTGCATTAATGATTAATAACCTAATATGTGAGAAAGCAACCTCGTTATTCATGGTCACGGTCGTTTAGTGCTACTACGCAATTATGGTGGGTGAATAACAGAAGTTCATTCATTTCTGCAATCTAAAATCTGACATTCATGTGTTAATAAAATAGCCCAAGTGAATGTTTTCTTACCTGAAGAACTTTACTATATGAAAAAAAAGAGCAAAAGCTGATTAGAATAACACAACGTAGCGAAACACAACGTATAACGAAACACAATTACGTAACGGAAAACTGGTGTAAACCAAACAAGGTTTCTCCATAGATATCTTATATACACTAGATAGTGCATCTAATTATTCTGCGATTCAAAAATTGAAGCCGTGATTGCAGACTCAGGATATTCCCATGAAATGAGAAGACTCGTATGTTTTCTATTTCTTAAACACGGAACTTAAACATTAAGTTAAACCTATGTCAAATACATTTTCAAACTGTCCAAATGATGAAAGTTGTTGTTTTTTAAGCGTTTATTAGCGAGTGGGAAACTCCAACATGGTCGCCATCTATTCAAATGGGGGTAACCGCTGGAATATTCTTGGCTTCAATTTTACTAAAAGAGATGCGCTATCTAGTTTATAGAAGATATCTATGGGTTTACCATGTTCCGAAAATTTCTGTTGTTTGCATTCCATTTGCATCTAATGAAAACCATGAATGATAATATATCGAACGGCTGACACCAGTCTAGGTAGACACGATAACGGACAGCTGCCGTGTGAAGAATATACAGCATTTGAAAAATACACACAGAACTTCGATGGTTGTCCAATACTGTCGAACGTATACGGATCGTAAAGATGGTGAAACATTGAACACAATCCGTACGGTCCGTACGAACTGTAAAATGGCTTTACGGATCGTACGGTCCGTACGGTTCGTGAATATGATTTACGGACCGTGAACATGCTTTGTCGATGGTCATGTGGTGTCTAAGTCAGGGCCAGAAAAGTTTGTCGATCCGTACGGATCGTACGGTCCGTACGAACTGTAAAATGGCTTTACGGATCGTACGGTCCGTACGGTTCGTGAATATGATTTACGGATCGTGAACATGCTTTGTCGATGGTGATGTGGTGTCTAAGTCAGGCCAGAAAAGTTTGTCGATCCGTACGGATCATACGGTCCGTACGAACTGTAAAATGGTTTTACGGATCG